AATGTTTGTATCAATTTCATTTGTTTTACTTTTATTTATATAAAAACCATCTGAACAATCATTTACACAATGTCCATCATTAAGAAGAACTTCTGTTACTAGATTACAAGCAATACAATCAGTTGCTTTTGGTCCTTTACATTGTGTACATGATGAATGACAATCATGTGTTTCACGTGTATTACTATCAATATAATATGGTTTGCCACTATATTTTTCACAACGATGACTATGAGAAATATAAACATAACCTAATTTACATGATAAACATGATTCTTCATTTGATGATGTACAATTTAAACATGTATCATGACATGCAAGACATTGTGAATCTGTTTGAGAAAGATAAAATCCTGGTGAACACGACGAAACACATGTATGATATTGAAGATTAGGATATTTGCTTGTTTTATCACATGATGTACATTGATAAGATTGTGGTCCACTACAAGTAGAACATCTTCCATCACACCATCGACAACTAGAAATAAGTAGAAAAAAATAATCATTTTGTTTTCTATTTTGATATAAACAAAAATCTTTATTTTACCGATTTTCAGTAAAATCAAAATATTCAGATGGATCACAAGTTTCGGGTAGTTTTACACAATCTGTATCTTTTAGTCCATATCCGTCTAGACATGATGTACATGTATACGAATTTGTATCACATGATGCACAATCAGCTTTACAACGTGTACATTTTCGAAGTTTTTGATCTTAAAAAAGAAAGAAAAAAGTTTTTGAATTCTCATTCGTATTTAATTGATTTACCTGTATAATATTTATCCGGACAAAATTCAATACAAGTCATTGTATCATGTCTAAGAAAAAAATCAGGCTTACAACCAATGCAACTATTTTCACTAGCATTTCGACATGAACCACATTGTGAATGACATGGTAAACATAAATTATCTACTTCCATTGGATAAGTACCTTCAGGACATATACCTACACATCGACTAAATAAGAGTAAAAGCAAATAAAAAATAATGTTTGTTGAATAGAATCTACTTACAATTTTCCATCAACTAATGGTTGTTTATAATGTCGACATGCTGAACAACTTGTATCTGTATCACCACATGATTCATCAGATTTACATTCGATATGACACTAAAAAATATATATTTATTAATACTCGAAATAATTTACCTATTTAATCACTTACAGGAGATGAATTCGTTTCCTTTGATACACGAGGTGATATTGCATAATCTCGTGTACCATGAACAACAAGTTTCCAAGACATCAAAACAGCTAAAAATATTGTGGGAATGAATATGTAAGGAATTATAGATTCTATATATTTTTACCTGATCCTTCACCTGTATTAAATACTTGTAGATTCCATTTTCCATGTGGTCGTTCACCCCATAATTGTACTGTTAGAAAAGGCCAATTTTCAAAACCATCTTCACTATGATCATTCTTTCGTTTCTACAATAAAAAGTATCAGTTTAAATCGAAATTGAAACATTTATTTTTTTCTAACTGGTAAAATTTGTGTTTTTGTATTTGATGGCGAATAAAGATAAATTTCTGTTTGTCCTCGATTTTGAGCTGTTAAAGTTATAAATATTTGTACTTGTTCAATATAATTCACTTGACGTTTAACATCGTTACTAGTTTGACATTCTGTTACATCAACTGAGAATATTTTACTTGAATTAGATTCTATAGTCATATTCGGATTCATAATATTTGTTTTACATGTAGACATAGGTGGAACATTTTTCCAACCAGATGCATACCATGTCATTAAACCAGCATCCATAAGACCAAAACCATATCTACTGCTTACTTTAAAAAGAAAAATATAACAATAAAGAGATAATAAAATAAAAATTATTTTACCATTAAATCCAGCTGCATTTTGAATAATTTGTGTATTTGATGGAATAGCATATGCACGAGAACTAAGAACTGTTAAGTACATAATATCACGCCATGTTAAATTAGGACTAGAAAAATATGAATTATGTTCTGTACATATTAAAACAAAAACATCTTGGAAGAAAATACTTGGCTTCAAGAACAAGAGCATAAATAGCTGCAGCTAATGGAGCTGCTGCTGATGTACCACTGAAATGAGTTGTACAACCATGATGTAAGTCGGTTGTAATCTTTAAAAAAAACATATAATAATAAACGAAGAGTATATTAAAAATCAATAACTGACAATTTCATGATCATTATCATTTGTTAACCCATTGCTATATGCTGTAGCAAGAGTAGCAGGACATTCTTCAAGGTACCATGGTACACGTCCCGTTTCAGTTGTAGAACTAATCGCAATCTAACAAAGAAATACAAAAATATTCATTAGAACTGCATATCTGTTAATACTATAAAACATACTGTGTATATAGAAGTTATATAACCATCACAAGAACATGAATCTCCAGATCGACCACCATTACCACTTGCCCAAACAAAGATCGATCCTTTTCCATCTCGACCCTATATTTCAATAAAATAGTATATAGATTTATAATAATTTCATTCACTCACCTTTAAAATACCATCTTCAAATGCTTTTGAAGCTAACACACCAGGTCCATCAACTTCAGTACCGGAATCAGTGGGTCCCCTGAACATACGAAATAATTATACTAATAAAAAGAAAACAAATGTTTTTAGAAAAATCTGGTTTACCAACTAGCTGAATAAATTTCTATATGATCAGGTCGATGACTAATCGATCGTGCTTCAACACTATCTGTAACATCACCATCTAACATTCGAACACCACCGACTCGAGCATGATAAGCAATTCCAACTCCACATACTTGATTATTTGGTTTTGCTGATACTTCACCAGCACATCGAGTGCCATGTCTAAAGAAAAAATTATTTTTCTATACAAACTAATTCAAATAGTATCTACTGACGCATTTTCATTCGTTGGTTCATAACGTGGTGATGGATCATCGTCATTACCATTAATATCTGTACTGGCTTCATGATCCTATTAAAAGAAAAAGAAATTCTTTTTTTTTGCAAACGTCAAACACAATTTTAATATATACGAACATAATTTTCTTGTAAATCTGGATGATCAAATTCTAAGCCATCATCGAGAAACGTTACAACTCGTCCTCGACCTGTATAACCCATTTTCCAAGCACCGGTAACATTTAAATCTGGTAAACTAGGCGTATGTAAATGTCGCATCTAGATATAAGAAAAAACAAGTTCCTAGTGATATAGACATCAACAACTATTCTTACCAAATACCACATATTATTCCATTCAGGATCTTGAAATTCAAATTCACGTTTTTGTCTTATTTTTGGAGTTTGCTTTTCAGCCCATGCAACCTGAAGAGAAACACATGAAAAAATAAATAAATATTTTATTTCATGTACTTTTTCATGATCACGAAGACTTTCAACTGGATCAATATTTTGTCCTGTAGCTCGACGATGTCGTCTATAATTATGAGATGCTGGATCTTCTTCAATTTCACAAAAACCATCAAAAATCTAAATAAATATATATTTTATTAAAATATTTATTTAATACTAGAATATTAAATTAAACCTGTCGAACATAACGATATCCATGTTCTTGAGCAATTATATCAGCAAGTATCTTACAATCACCATTAACTTGAATTACAATTGATGTTAAAGAATTTGTATTTGATTTTGTTATTGGAATCAATAGAAAATATAAGATAGTAGCAAAAATAATGGACGGAAGCATTTTTTGTGGAGAAAATTAAAGAGTGCTGCAATAAAAATATCTGAATATATAAAAGAAAGACTACTTATTGTCTGATTGAATTAATGATCAAATATTTCTCGATTTATTTCAAACAAGATGAAGAAAAGCGCGTGAACTCAACCAACCGATTATTATTACTTGAAATGTACGAATAAAACGAAACCTTTACTTATAGATTATATCTCAACATGGATTAAAAATAAGCTTTACCTTCATTAATACTATGCAAGTATTCGTTTTAAATGCACGATATAGATATATAGAAAACTACATATTAAAAGTTTAGTATAAATACTATTACATCAATTAAGTATAGATAACAGATTGTGTTAAGCAAGCGTTCTGCTTCATCAGTTTTATTACTCATTTTTTCAATTTTATATGTCAAAATACTCATCTGTTATTTATCGATTTAAAAGTTTTTTTAAATATTAATTCGACTAATATCTTTTTTTGATTTTAAAAAAAAATTCAAACCATAAATATTTAAAAATTCATTTTTCGAACTTGGCAGAAATACGCCATCTATCGTCTTAAATTTTTAAATAAAATTATAAGTTTTAGTTAAAGACTATTTTACTATAAGAAACAGTTTAGCTATTTTAAGTAAATTATACATCTTAATGGATATCTATTAATCTAAGAGGTCGCTGAGTATTAATGATATTTTCATGTTTTTTATGAATATATTTTTTTCCTAATAGTGATCATCATTAGGAGAATTCTGAAAGGATGTGAGTGTGCGGGTAGATGCAGGTGTTTGAGTATCAGTATGACCTCTCCTAATCTCAATCACACCCTAAAATATTAAAATATTTTAAGATTTTAATTTAGATAGATGACATGAGTTATATGAAGAATTAATTACATGACAAAAGTGATAAGTACGACATCGAAAATAATATTTTTAATTGTGATTTTTATTGATATGGAATGATATTGTGAAAAAAATCGCTTGCCTTATCTTTCTTATGCTGATCGAATTTTAGATCATAATATTTTAATACTTCACTTGAAAGTATTCGTTTTTTAAATATGACCGTGACACTCGATCACTAAAATTACACGAAGTAATTCTATGACCTTGTCGATAATGAAAGAGAAAATTATTTTCCTTGCTCTTTGGCTTCCACGTGTCTCATACCAAAAAAAAATTTTTTTTGCTGTCTGTCATACAGCGTTTCTCTTCAATTTAGTTTCATTCTTTTTCCAGTTTCTAGCCTGTAAATCAATAAACTAACTGATCATCTGAAATTCTCAAATCAATGTCCGAAGAGTTAAGCAATATTTATAACAAACTTTATATTGATGCAATTGAAAAAATAAAATCGGATCAATATGTAATAGATCATATGATTGATTCACCTCTTGATAAACGATTTGGTTTAGCACTTATTATCAAACTAGATCAACATGTCAAACAGCAAATTCAAACATTTCTTTCTACTTTACATGCAATAGAACCTGATCAATATTATCTTCCATCTTCGGATATTCATATAACTTTACTACCAATCATTTCTTGTTCGGCAGATTTTGATTTAAATCAAATTTCAGCTCAAGATTATATTGATCTTCTTCGTGAAAATCTATTCATAGAAGGAAAATTGGAAATTAATTTCAAAGGTATTACAGCATCATCCTCATGCATAATGATTCAAGGATTTCCTCAGCAAAACATATTAAATGAACTTCGCAATCAACTAAGAACATTATTCAAAACTTCTTCATTACGACAAACCATAGATGAACGATATTTTCTTCAAACAGCACATGTAACTGTTGTTCGATTTAGAAAAGCATTTACGGCAAAAGAAGAATTTCTAAAATTACTTGAAGATTATAAAGATTATGATTTTGGTACGATGACAGTCAATGAGATAGAACTGGTTTATCATGATTGGTATGTACGAGAGAAAATTGTAAAATCATTATGCCGATTCGAAGTTTAACAAAAAAAAACAAGTGATAGAGTGTGAGTGTCAACATGAATTATGATAAATATAGTACATATATCGCACAGTCGTATCCTTATTTCTTTTTTTCTGTTGTAAAAGCTCATGTCTGTAGAGATATACATCTCAGGCAGTACTACGATGAGTTAATTTTTTGAAGAATATTTCAAAGAATAAAATATCCATATTGTGTTTTCTTTGAATGTTTACCAAAGAGCATATCTATTTATCAGGCTTGCAAAGCCTCTCGATTTCACCAGAAGTCTTCTGATTGAACGATGAATAGGATTTAATTGAAAATTAATCTAACAGAATTTGAACTCTAATATCATATCTGATACATTATCTATTTTAGTATGCTTGTTTTTGATAATAGTCGCTGAAAAATAGAAAAAAACTATAACAATCAGGAATTCGTTGTATTATTTGTGTTTACATGTATATCTAAAATAATTATAACTAAATATACTACTAAAGAAGCACGATTATGTAATGAAAGATTGGCAAAATAATACAAAGTATACTTGTGGAGCGAATGGACAAAAACTTCCGGTTACTTTTATGTTTATTGACCAGTTTTTTATCTATCAAGAACTCTTTTCAAATATATTTGTTCAATTGTGTTTTGATCAACATGACTTAAAAATCTTGAAGGATGGGTGTGGGTATTACATTAACCTTGCTAATGAAGAAAAATTTATTTGTTTTAAAAGAAAAGAAAGGAAATATAATTTTTGAAAATCTAAACGTTTGAAAAAATTCTCAAAAGAAAAAAAATCAAGTTTTATTATTGAAAATCAATGAAAAAATCGAATAAATTTTTTTGATAAAAAGACAATGTATAAAAATCTTTTTTATTTTTTTTCAAAAATGAATTTAGTTTGATAATTTTAATTAAAAAATTCTAATAAATAACTGCTAAATTCTTCATCTTTTGTTGAATTTTACAGAAGAAACGAACATCTTTTATACTTTCAATGAAATTAAACAAAAACTATTCGGAAAGATGATTTTATGTTTAATAAAACTCTATTCGAATATTTTTAATTTTTCGATTTGAGGAAATTTGAGAATTGTTTAACAGTGAAGAGAAAAGAAATATTTTATGAAAATTTAATAATAGAAATCGAATTGAAATGAATTTAGTTGAACATAACAAAAAAATAATAAAAGTATTGTAAATGATTCAAAATTCCAATTTGATTTTTAATTTTAAAGAGTTTTGATGAAATTTCGAAAAAAATTTATTTGATTTTTCAAAGAAATTAAAATAAGTATTTGACAATTTTTTAGCAAATTAAATTCTTAAAATTGAAAATTTTTGTTTTTGTTCTTATTGAAATTTGATGAGAATAAAAACAATTTGAAGATGTTTTTAGCACTTTTTAATCTATATTAACATTTCAAAGTAGAATCTCTTAAGAAAAGCGTCTCACTAGAATAATTGGAGAAATGATCGAATAAATATTTTTATGAATAATAGAAAATATTTCTAGATCAGTTTAAGAACAATACGTTAAGCCGTAGGAAAAAATGAAAATATTTTTAGATGAATTATTGCTGAGATAAATATTTTATAGGATTGTAATCATTGATAATTATTTGAATAAAAATATCTAAAAGATGAATTTGTATATTAAATTGATTACTTAGAGAATTGTTATATAATAATAAAGATAATTTAAATAATATTAAAGCAAAAAAATAAAACTTATTTTTTTATAGATATTGTTATTATTTTCTTCAATCACATCTAGAATTACTTATATAAAAATTATTTAAGATTCACTCAGTTATATTTGAGTTATTGAATTAATGTAAGTGAATGAGTATTATCTGCATATATTATTCACATCCTCTCATTTCCTTCGACTTTGTACCTTGGATAATAAAATAATTTAATGTAAATAATTCTGTATTTTCTATGAGAAAAAACAACCAATTGTTGCATGTTCCCGTGATAAAAAAATATCTAGTTAATTTAAAAGAAGAAAATTTTCTTTCTTACATTTCAAAAGTTAACGTTTCGCATGTCGTGCTTATAAAACAATACTCATAATGAATGAGAAACTTAAATAATCAATTTTATCTTTAATCTAAATTTATTCAAACAGGCGACATGTAAGTTTGTTATTAGCAAAAGAAAATATTTTTTATATATCAAATTTAATTTACAGTCATAAACTATTCTGAATTCTCTTTTTCTTCAAAATTAAAAATATAGAAATAATTTCTTTATTTATAGCATTTCAAACTCAACTATATTCCCTAACAGACTATTGCTGTAATTAAATATATTATACTGAAACAATAAACTATAAGAAAAGATACAGTGTGAAAGGTTTTATAATTTACAAAGAACTGATCATTGTTTAGTTGCAATTTTTGCTCTAAAATCGAAGAAATCTCTAAACATCGAAGCTATACATTTTCGTCAAAAACAGTTTATCAATATATACAGTAAACGCTTTTCTCACATTCTTCAATGAACAAGTTATAATCCAATATCTAAAGTTGATTTTAAAATATTTCTTGATGAAACCAACATTATATGATCAAAATGTGTAATGTAAAAATATACTCTCTTCTATGAATTAAACATCTTTTCATCGTACATGTTTTACTATATTTTAAATAATAAAAGAAATCGTTTATTATTTTTACATCCTTATCACGTCAAGAACCTGAGGGAAAAAAAAATAAACAGAAGTTTTTTCTACTACCGACAAACCACTTTGCGTAACGTATTGATTTATTATTTTCGTAGTTTCCCACCAATTTTTATTGTGGTAATTACGTTGTATGAATAATAATGAGTCAAAACGCACTCAAAATATGTGTGCATATTCGTTATTTTTTTTATAGGAAGTAGGCAATAATAATAAATCATTTTTGTTATCTATTACTGTTTATCCTTGTTGAAATCCAAATTCTAATGACGATAGATAAAGGATAAAACCAGAAAGGGAGGGGGGGATCTTTTCATGCTTGGTTAGTTTTTAACTGAAGAAGACCAAAATAGTCGTTATAATGAAAGTTATGATGAAATTTGATAACTGTTGTTATTACTACGAATAAAAATATTCGATGTCTCACTGAGTAATCTTATATCATTATAGATATAAGCATGAACGAAAGACTTTTTTGATAAAATGGAAAAAAATATTATATTTGAGTATAACTCATGCCACTAAATACGATTTAATCTATTTTACAATCGTAATAAAATAATAAAAAACAATGCATAGATATGCGAGAAAAATATATGATAAGTAATATTTAGATTAAGCTTAAATCGAATATTCAATTGATACAAAGCTCCGTTTAATAGCGATTCTTCTAAAAACAATTCATGAAATTTGAATATCTATTTCAATTTTTTTACATTCGCAGAAATATGATTAATGAAACGACTATTGGATCTGAGTAATCAGAAAGTAAAAATGTTTGCACTAAAAAAATATCTTGTCATTAAAATAATGTGGGAATTTTTTCATTCATATTCCATATTCATGGATACTAGTATGAAAAAAAAATATGATAGTTGATTCTATATGAAACGATCAGCAAGCACGAGACGGGCAATCGAATTATATGCTATTGACGTATTTTATCACACGTGGAAAATAATTTTGTGCATCAATTACAAGGTAACCCGTGGGGGACATAAAAGCACGATACGCTAGGTAATATATTTATGGTATATATCCTCTTCACCGAAAAAGTTTTTTCCCTCAGAGACCGCTGCAAAAGTGTGGATGAAGGGAAAAATTCTTTCACTGAAATAAGTTTTTAGCGGAGAGTACTCAGTCATATTTATCGCTTTTAAAGTAAGCCAGTATTTACCAACATACATTAATTAAACGTAAAATACATCATCAATGACGTCAAATATAGCATTGGAAAAAATTTATCAAATATTTAGTAACTCAAGACACAGAAAAAACCAGGTTTTTAAACTACTCCATTATATAAATATGTATGGAAAACGAAAAAAAAACAGAAGAATCTTATCATTATGTTTCGGTTTCTTTATCATCATATTATTACAAAAACTGCTAAGATGGCGACAAAAACAGGTGCGACAACAGGGATGGCTGGATCCTATAATTCAAATTCATCACCACAGCGAGCTCTTATCGAGTCGTCAATGCCATTCATTAAGAACGCTATTGAAAATCTCAAGATACGTCCTGAAAAATGTCCTGTACTTATTGCTGATTTTGGTTCATCTCATGGATCAAATTCTATGCATGCTATAAAATCTATTATTAGTTATATACAAGAATTAAAAAAAATAGATCGACAATTTTTATCTGTACACATTGATTTACCAACAAATGATTGGCAATCATTCTTTGGTATTTCAAATGATCAAGATAAAAAATTTTTTAGTTTAGCAACTGGTCAATCATTTTATAAACAATGTCTTCCACCTGATTGTTTAACTATTGGTTATTCATCTGGTTCTGTTCATTGGCTTTCTCAAAAACCATGCAATATAACAAATCATTGCATATCTATTTTTGCTAAAGGTAATGAACTTCAAAAATTTCAAGAACAAGCTCGTGATGATTATCGACATTTTCTTGAAAATCGTTCACGTGAACTTATTCAAGGTGGTATTCTTATCCTTGTAATGAATTGTTTTAATGATGAAGGTATAACTATGACTGAAAGTGTATATCATAATTTATATAAATGTGCTAAATCAATTTTATCACCAAATGTAGAATTACCCAATTATACACTGCCAGTTTATATACGTTCATATGGTGAATGTGTTGATAAACAATTATTTGATCAATATTCGTTTGAAGTAATTCATTCAAATATGTCAGCCGTTGATTTTAAATTCTATGGTGAATTAAAAAATAATAAAATGACATTAGAAGAATTTTCTGAAAAACAAACAGAATTTATACGATGTGCTACAGACTCCGTATTAAGAGGAGCCTTAGAAAGTACTGGAAAACGGTCAAAAGAAGATATTGATC